AGGTACTAACTACTACTAACTTACTAATTAGTAAGTTGTGAGTCTGTGACCCTGTATATATATATATATATATCCCTCGTTTGTTGTCCTCTTCTCTCTCTCTCTGTGCCTACGGTTTACCGGGCAGTTCTGTTTGTGACGATACGGAGGTCCCCGGGCAGACCTCCGTACGTACGGGCGTTCGGGGACCCGTACGGGGTCCGAACCCGACAGCGTTCGGCCCCCGCCAAAAATGATTTCGGGGCCTAAAAATAATTATTTTTTTGAATTTTTTTCTGAATTGTTTTTTGTGAGTTCTCTATGACGTGAGGTACATGCCTGTAAATTTTCAAGTCATTTGGATAAGCCAAATACGAATTAAAAATTGCCAAAGATGGCGGTGTCAAAACGTGCTCGCCCACTTATTTTTTCACTTTTTGCTTTTTGTTTTCACTTTAGTTCGGGGTCTAAACAATTTTATTATTTTTTGAAACTTTTGTTAGTGGGTTTTGTATTATGTGAAGTACACATCTGTAAATTTTCAGGGCATGTAGCTATGCCAAAAAAAAAGGAAAAATCGCCACAGATGGCGGTGTCGAAAACATGCTCGCGCACTCACTAAATTTAATTCTCTTTGTATTTATATTTATTTTGATTATTAGTATTTGTTTTCCGTATTTTATTTTTATTTCAAATTTGGTAAGGAATTCGGATGTAATGCTCAGGCAAATCTTGTTTAATTTATTTTTCTCCATAACATATCTTTTTTTCGGATTTCTTTGATGACTTTTTTTTTTTTTTTTTTGGGTCCGCGTTCGGCCCGAACGGCCCCAAGGGGTCCCATACGTTCGGGCGTTTGGGTTCGGGCGTTCGGCCCGTCCCGAACGCCGGTTACCCTGTATATATATATATATATATTTTTTTTAATTTGAAAAAATAAAATTAGACTCTTTAAGAGTTCACGTTACTGACTTTCACTGTTCAGACCTTGATAGCAGGAGGGGGGATTTTATTTATTTGTTTATTTTTTTATTTTTTTATTTTTTTATTTTTTTTTGGTAAGGGGGAAATTACCGATGACCCAGAAAAGGCTGAAAAAAAAAAAGGATAGATAGATGTTAAGCTGTTAACTTGTGCGGTGAATACTGGATTCTCTCACTCCCGCACTCCCCCTTCCCCCTTCCCTTCCCCCCCCCTCTCCCCCTTCCCCCCCGTCTCCCTTAAACCACCAGTACCTCCAGGCCTCGTGTTGCCAAGGCGGGTTCCCCTTGCATGCCATTAACTAACTGCCACTGCGCCGTTCTCAATTTTTTTTTCTTTTTTTCCGGCTGGCGTGGCCATCCATTTTGGTCTGGGTAAAACCCTAAACCCTAAATCCGAAGAACCCGGATGGTGGCAATTTCAATTCTTGAGTTTGCCTGGCCGACTGGCGGGCTTAACCCTAGCCCCGAACACAGTGCACCCTCATTGTGACTGAGTCTGGATGGAAAGATAGCTTGTGTACATTCAGTATGGGGGTGCGCTCTGCTTGGGGGAAGGCGGTAGGGGAGACAACTTATGTCCCTCCCATGCCCCCTCCCTCTTACCCTAGTAGTGCCCCCTCCCCCCCCCCCGCCCCCCCTTTGTGTACATTCAGTATGGGGGTGTGTTGTGTTCAGGGGAAGACGGTAGTGGAGACAACGTATATCCCTCCCTTCCCCCCTCTCCTTAGCCTCTGTCTCTTATACACATCTAGATGTGTATAAGAGACAGGAAGAGGGCACCTGGCTTTTGCCCTTCACCAGGAGAGTTGATACAGACTTCACCATATTTGCACAGATGCCCCTGTCAGAAGAGGGCACCTTTGC